TGAGATGATAAGGGTAGATTGTGGTATGTGAGCCATCAGAGGTGGTTTGGCTACCTGAAGAAGGTACTCTTATTTAGGCTGGGTTGTATTTAACATAGTTTCATTAAGTTGTCTACGGGTTCTTGCCCAGTTTGAGGTTTTGTTTTTCCATAATCAGTTACTTGTCAGTACTTTTTACTTGTAAATAGCTGATTACAGCTTATTACTTGATAAAACTTGTGGATTTAGTGTAGCACATGAAATGCAAATTCAGTTGTTACTAGCTGTTGCTATTTCGTGTTGCTAAAGTTGCATTTCTTGATACAGTGATTCGGTAAGTATCTGGAAAAGGTGAGAAAAAGACTTTGATCCTTTATTGTATCAGCATGCATAGAAACATTGACAAAGTGTTAATCTGTTAATCTATATCATCAATGCTAGTATGTAAAGTTTAAAACACTACTGAGAAGCTGATGGTTTGTAGTTGATAGAAAAGAATTGAAACAGCAACACAAACAGGTCATTCCATCTTTGGCATTTCTGGGGCAGCATTATAACAATAATATAATGTTATTAATGTCATCTTATGTAGCAGACATATGAAACATTGCTGACTTTGGCTTGATTAAACTAGTGTTTGGCTTTCTATTGCTTGTGGATACTACTGTGAAGAGTTCAAATGCGTTTTCTTGGAAACAGTGCTCAAGCAGCTCCTGAATTCAGTTTTTTTGTCAGTGCATTCTCCTCAAACATGGAGATGGGACATGTTGCAAGGCCAGTGTTTGGTCACACTGTGTGAGACTTGAAAAATTTTGTTGCTTTGTTGACAAAGCATTAGTACCTTGCTGTTAATTCTGATAGCAAGCATTTGTTGAAGTATTTGTTTTCTATCAACAAATTTCTTCACTAACCTGTCTTCCACTGATACCTCGTCCCTGCTGATGAAAATTTTAGTAAGTCAGGTCTTTGCCCCTCTGTTCTCTTTGCTCTTCCCTCCTCTCCATCCTCCATGCAGTGAGAGCTGGTCTTGTTCTTCAGTCATGGGTGTCTGCACCTGCAGTTTCCGAAGGTGCCTGATGTCCTGTTGTGGGAAAGGATCCTCACCACTTGTCCACAGCTTTATTTATGGACTTCCTCTTAAACAGCTCTCTGTGCAGCCCTCATTTTTCAAACTCGGGTTTGCACCTAGTGCTGATGAAGCCTTAGACAAAGGCTTATTCAGCTGCAGGAGCAACCACCAAAATGTTGGCAAATGTGTCTGTCCATATATAGCCAACTTGGTCAAACAAATGCTGTATGGAAGTCACACACGTAAGTGCATTCCCAAACAGGGACATTGTTCCCCAGCTTTCATGTATACAGTGGTGTCAGTAATGTAAGTTGTGTGGCTTCTTCTGTTTTGTTTTAATTTCCTAAAGGAATCACATATTTCTAAACTGTGTCCAGCATTTCCTGACTGTTTCTGGACTTTCAGGACATCTAAACAGTGAGTCAGTTAGAGAGGCTTAGTTTCAGATTTCCTGAGGCATCAAAAAAACCCCCACTGTATGGTACTCCTGAGATGTTTAGAATATAGTAGCTGTTAGTATCTATTG